AGGGGGAATATTTGAAATATATATAAATACTTTCTGCCTTGACTACTCCGCAAAAACTGCTTCTCCTAACTTAAATCAAAACCACGTGAAGATGGCTATCACCAAAAAAGTCCACAAATAACAAACGTCGGCAAGGATGTAGAGAAAAGGGAACCCTGGTGCACTGTTAGTGGGGGTGTGAACTGGTGCAGCCACTTCGGGAAACAGCACAAAGGTTCCTCAAAAACCAAAAACAGAATGACTACACGACCCAGCAATTCCACTTCTGAGTATACATCTCCCCCAAATAAAAACACCACTTTGAAAAGACACTTGCGCCCCAATATTCATAGCAGCATTATTTACAAGAGCTAAGATAACAAAGCAACCCAAGTATCCATCAACAGATGAATGAAGATGTGGTACATACAGTGTGTGTTGAAATACACACACACACACACACACACACACACACACACACACAGAATATTATTCAGCCATCAAAAAGGAATGAAGTTCTGCCAATAATAATAACATAGAAGGACCTAGACAGTAGAATGCTTGGTGAAATAAGTCAGAGAAAGATAAATATTATTACCACTTATGTGGAACCTAAAAAATAAAAAAAAGAATGAATGTAATAAAACAGAAACATGGATACAGAAAACTAGCAGTTAGCAACAGGGAGAGGGGAAAGGGGAATGGCAAGAGAAAGGCAGATACAAATATTATGTATAAAATAAATAAGCTACAGTGATATACTGTGCACCAAGGACATAGCCAATATTTTAAGGAAAATTCAAATGGAGCATAATCTATAAAATGTGCACATGTGCACTCAGTCAAGTCTGCCTCTTCGCAACTCCGTGGACTGCCAGGCTCTTCTGTCCATGGAATTTTCCAGGCAAGAAAACTGGATCAGGTTGCCATTTCCTTCTCTAGGGGATCTAGCCGACCCAGGGATTGAACCGGGGTCTCCTACATTGCAGGCAGATTCTTTACTGTCTGAGCCACCAAGGAAGTCAGTTTACACCAGGGGCATTCCTAGAAATTGGAGATGGGGACAGAGACTCTTGGCACTTACTAGGCACTAAAAGTGGCAGCTGATGGACTTAAGTGGCATCCATGCACCTTCTCCAGGAACTCACTCCCTGCCCTGTCTGGGGGGCATCTCCCCTTGGCCCCTGGGTCCCTCATAACTACACTTGAGCCCCTCTTGGTCTGTCACCTACTTGCTGGACACCCCCACCAGCCTGGGAGGTGGTCCACACAGGCAGGCTTGGGATCATCTCATGCAGCGCCGGGTACTTTNCTTGAACTTGGCCGGGCAGAGGGCTTCAATCACATGCTCCTTGTCCTGTAGCTTGGTGCAGATGGACATGATGACTTGGCCAATGTGAACCCTGGCGCTTTCCAAAGGTGCCGGACATACCTGTCTAGAGTCTATCAGCTCCAGCACAAGGCAACATCTTGCTGACGCGGATAAGGTGGAAAGGGTGCAGCCGCACGCGGATGTGAAAACCATCTCTGCCACAGCTTTTCACCATGTACTTGCTGGCACAAATACGGGCAGACTCCAGGGCTTAGAGGAGAGCTTCTCATACTCAACTGACACCACGTGGCCAGTGAGAGTGGGAACTCATCCACGTTTGCCTTCTTATGCCTGAAGATGAAGATGCGGATCTTAGCATCTCGGACACGTCGGCAGAAGCGGGACTTTGGGTACGGCTTATTCTTACCATACCGGTAACACCAGGCGGGGTGGTGGCCCAGGGCAACACCAGGATCTTCATGGCATGCCAAAGGGGAAAGCCCAAACACCTTTTTAAAGCATTAAACGTCTCATATTTTTCTTGAAAACTCTTTCCCATCTTCCTTAGCACTACACTCTACTGCTTTTCCCACCACAGACCTGATTGTTTCCTTTCCTTTATACTTCACTTAACAAGTAGGTAGGTGTTTTCAAAGGATCTGTCTTGGTCTTATTTTCTACTTTCACCAATTTTCAAAGTTTCAGCTTTACGACCTCTCTCTTAAGCTAGACCTATCTTCAGCTGGAATCTCTTCCAAACTCAGAACAAAACTCATAAACACATCCTATACATAATTACACAGATATTCTCTTTGTGTTTCAAATCCATTCCATCCCATCCCCTCCCACAAATCGGTTCCTATTATCTACCTCCAGTAGGAGTATAATCTAAACATCTACAACTTATATTAAAAACCTATCTCTGACTTCCTTTTCAACAACCCCCACTGCTTTCCTTCCCTCTTATGATTCCTCTACACCCCCAACACAAGTTCAATCTGGTGCTAAATTCTGCACATTGGTAGTTTGGTTCAAGCAACAAGAGAGGGTTTGTATTCTTTGAGAAATTCTTAAGAGTGAAAGCTAAATTTACAGTCACTAAAAACAGAAACACACACATTCATCAATAGTGGCAGGCATCAGACATTTGAGAAAATCTTCATTAAAGGAATCATTAAAAGTGAGTATCTATTAACTTTTGCCTTGCAAAATGGGAAAAATCTGAGCCTTCAGCAAGTCATAATATTCCGTAATAGTAATATTAAAGATCACTGAACACAGATCATTATTATGAATACAGTAATAATGGAAAAGTTTAAAACACTGCAAGAATTACCAAAATGTGACAAACAGACATAAAGTGACAGCTGTTGGGGTAAAAAAAAAAAAAAGATGGTGATAACCTTGCTCAACACAAGGCTGTTTCACCTCCAATTTGCAAAAAATGCAATATCTGAAAAGTCCAATACACTGAGGTATGGCTGCATCCCCCTTCTCCAGACTCTATAATATTTATCCCTCTGTGTAGTCTTCCCTGATGTCCTACCTGGAATTTAAGATCTTCCTCAGAACTCTTAGTGAGGTTTATTTATCTATCTATATTCTACCTAATTAGTTTGCCTTCTATTATCATAATGTGACCATCTGACAATGTCTAACACTTCACACATAGTAGTTCCAGTAAGTATTTATCAGATAAATAAGAGGAACAGAAAGTATGCTACTTTTACCTTTTAAGTAAAACAATTTTTCCAGTGAGATTACTATAGGTAGTTCAGGTTCTAAAAATGGAATACAAGAGCTAGAAAAAGAGTGCGAACACTCTTCAGTCTTATAGGGAGCCAGAAAAGTTTAGAATTTCAATATGTAGTATGCTAATAGTTGAAAAAGTATATAATTAATGTCTATAAAACCCATAGTTATGATTAGAAAATTCACCTATTTGACTAGGAAAGGGGAAAATTGCTATAAAAAAACCACACAAACATCCTAATACATACATATTAACTTAGAAGCTTTTTGAAGGAACCAAGGTATTTTCATAGATAGTCCTAAATTATCTTCAAAACCAGTTGAGATATACTAATTATAGAGATAATAAAAATAAATAAATAAAAGTTACTAGGGACAAAGGACAAAACTGTAATGCTTCATGCTCATGAAAATTACTAGAAATAAAAATACTTTCTTCTCTTGGATCAATTAATTATGAAATGCTAAGCCAACCACCTAAAATGAAGGAGAATCTTGCTCCTCTAGTTTATGGATAAACTAGTAGAATAAGGTCATAATGAGGTCATAGCTGTTTAAAATTTTTTAAACTTTTTAGTTAGGTTGCAATAATCAATTTACAAAAATAGCTCTCATACTTTAAATTTTGTTAAGAATTCATAATACAGCTCTTTGTTTTACTAAAATAATTATAGTCTTTGAAGAAAACTGTGTAGATTATAAAAATGTACTATTACACTTAAATAATTTACCTGTTGTTTGAGGTGATAACTTTGTTAATACCAACACTGCATGAGGCGATAATATTCCTAAAATAACTATACCTCACTGAATGATAGATGACTTACCTCCTAATACTTTCAGATACTTGAGCTTTGATTACACTTTAATAAAATTACAAAATTAAATTGGGCAAAGTATAAACAAACTTCTTCTTATGATGGTATAGGAAATATTTTAAGATGTTTAACAACATAAAGAGTAAATGTTATTCTTTAATGACTTAAAACCAATCCTGTACTCAAAAAAGACTTCATATAATAAAGATGTGCAACACAGTAAGACATTTCTCTCGCTGTGAACAGAGATAATAACATGCTTGAAATTCCATTTCAAGGAACAGTTAAAGCAGTAAAGAGAGTCAAATACCACTGTGACCTACTGCTCATTGTGAGAGCAAACACATTTTCTTAGCAACCCTGCCCTGTGCTGGGTTGGCACCATGACCCCCAGCACTTTTAATCTGTGTAAGAACTTTACACAGACCATATTCACCCCGTTTCACAGATGAAGAAAAGTAACTTTCCCACAGTACCATCAGTAATCAACCGAGTTGGATTCAGTCTTGTGTAGAGTCCATCTGACTCCAGAGCCCATGCTTCTGAGATCAAATTACAGCTGAAAAAAGTGATCCATTTAAATGTGTCTTCTATAAGGAAATCTTTAAGTTGAAGCAAGAATGGGTATTAGGCAGTTGACAATCTAGCAGCAAAGAATCTTTGTAAGCATTGGGAAGTAAAAGTTCTAAAGTATTTTTTTTCACGGGCACATTATAAATTCTCATGTATGGAATATTTTATTATAAAAGGAATAATGGGTTAAAAAATTCTGTGACTTTGATGATTAGTTCAAAATTAATAAAGAAAGACATAACTGGCACACCTTTACCATCAACAAGACAGATTTATGTTATGTCAGCAATAAAGAAAACCAATACCCATTATTCTAACAGGACAAACTTTCGAACCTGAAAACTATCATTCCTTTAAGTACTGATGTCACTAAATGGACCGAAAGATGAGCTGTGCGTGTGTGAGTGCTAAGTCGCTTTAGTCGTGTCTGGCTCTTTGCAACCCCATGGGCTGCAGCCTGCCAGACTCCTCTGTCCATGGGATTCTCCAGGCAAGAATACTGGAGTGGGTTGCCATGCCCTCCTCCAGGGGATCTTCCCAACCCAGGGATCGAACCTGCATTGCAGGCTGATGCTATACCGCTGAGACACCAGGGAAGCCCAAGAGATGAGCTGTAAGTGTCAGCAAATGGCAGAACAAAATGACTGGCAGACAAAGAGGTTTGTATTTAAACAGGGGATTGACACTGGCTGCTAACTTCACACTTTCCTCTATTGTCTCTTTATATAACACACCTATTTGATGAACGGGCATCTCTAACAATACTGAAAACATAGCAGGTGTTCACAGACTACACTAAGCGCATGACTCAGAGTATCAGATTGGTCCATCTGGGTGGTGCCCAAGGGTTTACCCTGCTCTGCACATGGATACATCTCACGTTTCACGGGTTTCACTCTCTCTAATCTAGTGATTAGTATGGCATAACTGAAAATGCTTGGGACAGTGTTCACCAGTTAAATGGTATCTTATTATTTAAGCCTTGTTCAGAAGCCAGTTCCTCCCCGTCTAATTGACCTTTCCAGAAACCTGTACACTGTTTATGCCTATGGTAACTCAACAGCTTAAAACATTACATTCCTGAAGTGGAATACGTTTGCCTCAAAGAGACACTTGGTAATAAAATAAATGGCCTTACAATAAATGTTAAGGAAACACTGAAATAACTTCATAATTCATCTGCTTTTTAAGAACAGCAATAGAACCATGTCATAGGCAGGACAACTGAAAATCAAGCAGATTACAAAAGTTTATAAAATCAAAACACACACACACATACACACACAAACCAAAACACAATGTTTTTCTCTAACATCTTTATAAAACAATTTGAATATAGAAATATCCTAAAGATAGTACCCCCCCCAGAATAAAACATCTAAATGTGGGCTTAAGTCAACCTTTCTGTTATGTATTAACTAAATACAAGTACCATACAGCATCTCTTGTGACCCATCCTGAACCAATTTGCCTTCCTTGTGTCTCAGAACCTTCACATGCACTCCACGCAAAAGGTCACTGGCAAAAGGTCACTGGTAAAGTGTTAGGGAAGTACGTGGCAGGAGGCTTACAAGTCTTAATAAACTCTTGCTGACTCAATGTACCCTATGAACAATACAACAGGTACCCAGAAATTATTTTTCTGCTCATTTTAAGTTCTTAAAATCACTAACATTTATTGATTATAGGACTAACTGCAACTTAAAGACTTATTTATGAGGAACACTCCTCTCCCTGAACTAAGACTTGGGAGAATAACTATCTCCAAGTGGACCTGGGGATGCTTATTAATATCAATACCAATGGAATATACAATTAGTAAAATGTGAACTCTTGTATTACTAATTCACCAAATGTTCACTAAGTAAGTTCCACGTGCTGGACACCATTCCTAGGTTTGGGGGATACAGCCCAAAACAAAACAGACCCTCTAATGTAAACTTAAGTCTTCAGGTTTCTTGAAGAGGTTACCTGAAAAATTAACATATATTCACTCATATATATTTACACTTATCTGTGTTAAATTGAGACTACATCAATATGATTACTAATCTCAAACACTCATCAACTGAAAGTTCCTCGTATGTATTAGAAAGAGGTACTAGAGAGATGTTCAAAGAATTGCATTTAGACTATTACTTGAGAAATACAATGATTACCTAACCTAAGAGCTAATATCAGAGGAAAGGAGGAGAAGGAGGAGTATGAAAAAAGGAAATTAAAAAAAGGAAGAGAGAGAGGGAGGAAAATTAACAGGGAGAATAGGAGATTTAGGACTCTGTTGTGGCTTTTACTGGCTTTATTTCAAACGCAGAAACTTTTCTTTCTGTTTCCCAGAACCTTTAAGACTATGCTATTTTCCTGCTGAATAAAGTAAAAGAATATAGCCATGAAAAACATGAATTGGCTTGATTATAGTAAGCAGAAACATATATCTCAAAAAAGTTAACTGTCTTCTTCTTTGACCTAATTTTCAAATAGATTCCATATCAAGTAAACAATGAATATACATGGAAATCAATTTTTATAATGATGTTATTCTTCCATCATACAAGACACCCTGATTTTCAAGTTCTTAGATTTGATTCCTTCCTTACAAGACACTTTTTTTTAATGCACAGTTACTTCAAAGTAGAAGAAATAAGAATCTAACAATTTCAAATGTCTCCCATTCCAAAGATTTTTAGAATCTTAGATGATACAGTAAACCAGATCTTCTTGTTTATAGATTAAATAACATAGAAAAAAATTTTTTAATGTTCTCTTCTCTCTTTGGCACAGAAAAAAACAAATACCTCTGGTATGAACTGAATTGGCTGCCCTCAAATTTGTATAATGAAACCTCAAACCCCAGTGTGACTGGGTGTCTACTTGGAGACAGACCCTAGAAGTAGGTAAAAGTGAAGTAAGGTCACCAGGGTGGGGCCACTATCTGATAGAACTGGTGTCCTTATAAGAAGGGGGGAGAGGCTGGAGTGCGCGCGCACACACACACACACACACGCACACAGAGAAAAGGTCATGTGAGGACACAGCAAGAAGGCAACTGTCCATAAGCCAGAAGAGAAACCACACTAGAACAGAACTTGTCAGCACCTTGACCGTGGACTATAAGCCTTCAGAGCTGTAAAACAAACCAAAAAAATCTATTGTTTAAGTCGCCCAGTCTGTGCTATTTTGTTCTGGCTGCCCAAGCAGACTACACAGTCTCTAAAAATGAAAATATTCTATTTCTGAAATAGTTTCACTCTATCAATGATCCAGCTGAATATATAGCTGGCAGTTGTTACAACGATGATTCGCTGATAAAGAGAAACACTCGGGACACTTTGAAAAATAAGTCACCCCAAAATTATTTATATGTGTGTGTGTGTTATTCTAAATTAAATTATCATTTAGAAATAACATAAAGCTTTGAACCCTAAGAGATATCCTCTGCTGTTCTGCTGGACAACGCCAACGGAGAAGTCTTCGAAGGAATTTAAATAATCCCAGCCTCACTGAAAACAGCAGCACAGAAATCTTGGCTGACTCTTCTGAAACCAAACAGCGTCTGCTCTACATGCTGAAGACAATTTCTGTGGCACTCTCTCTTGTTCGTGTACCATGTGAGATTATAAAAAATTGTATTTCTTTAATGCCAACCTTAAAATGCAGAGGCGATGTCATATATCCACATTTGGCAATCACTCTGTTAGGACTTCTATGTTCTCAGTGGCAAGAACTGATTTGTTAGTTCACAGGGTTACTAGTACTTCCACAGGATTCACCTTTTCAGATAAGGATAGTACCACTTTTATTTTTCAATAAATCTGTAGGATACTTATACATTAAGGACAATTTTTTAAAACTCTTGGAAGTGTGTGTTTGAATATGAATATGCAAACATAGTTTATACATACATATACTGTAATAAAGGTATATTATAGTGCATCCAAGATTACTGAACTGTGATCATGTTTCTTAACTACCATGTCTCAAGAGTATCCCATGTGCCAGGCACTGTATCAGGCACTCAACTTAATTCCCTCATTTCATTATCAGCACTCCATGAGATCATTATACAATATTAAGATGAGAAAACAAAATTTCAGAGGTTAAATAATCACCCAAATTCTTTCAACTTAAAAGTTCCAGAATTAGGATTTATGCCTAAATTTCTCTGAATAAGCAGATTTCTAAGAATGTTCCTTTTCCCCAATCTTAAGGAACTATAAACTATCAGACAAAGCACTGCTTATAGTATAATCCTCAATATTGAAATCATCTCCGTCCACACAGGTGTGGTCACAACATTTTATAAAACTTGTGGGATTAATCATAACACTAGCTGAGGAGGTCGTTATGCCTATCAATTTTCTACAAAGTATAGGACAGAGCATTGCAATCACTGTATAGAGAATACGACCTCGGGGTACATTAGAAAACTCATGTACATTAGAAAATCTTATAGTATGTGTATTCTTTCTCTCCAGAATGATTCCTGAAATTGACTTTAAGTAGAAGCACTTGATTACCATTACATGGTAAAATAATTATATTACTACTGGAAAAAGCAAACTACCCATTCTCTTATGCTCTTCCTCTATATCCAGTTGGATATCTGTCAAAAGTCCTGTAACCCAGTAAACACAGGGAAGAATTTATTATGAGGATCATTATTTCCCTTCTCAAACTCTGTATTCAAACCACAGAGGGTCCAGTGGGCAGTAATTTTCTTTCATTTTAAAGCAACTTACAAAACAAGAATGTAAGCTTAATGTAGGGTGTACTTGCACTTATTGCATAGTGTAAAAGTGGTAATGTTCAAAACTTATGGAAACTCTTGAACTGAATGAACTCCTCATTCCCTAAAACTTGTTCACAGATAGGTTTCAAAGTTCAATCTGTTCGATGTACCACATAGAAGCTTCACAAATAATTTTTCACGTTAAACAGATTGATTTTTACAGGACTTCTGGAAGCTTAAGATACAAGCTGCATTCTGTCTGTCTGGAAAAGCCCGAGATAGGATTATCCAAATATTACCCTTAAAATAGGCACTGTGCCTATCAGCATTCCCCTACATCACTCTGAAGAAGCCGCTCCTATCCTGTGACACGAGCTGGCCATGTGACATGCTTTAGCCAATGAAATGCTAGGAGGCAGTGACAGACACGGCCACTAAACAGCAGTCTACAGAACCCAGAGTCCCGGCTCCTTCTGCCACAAGACTTTGTGCACCCCCACAGGCTGGCTTTCAGCGCTGGTCTCATCAGGGACATGAACATGAGTGAGAAAGAAACTTTTACTGCGATAAAACACTACGGCTTAGGGACTCTGTTTGATTAAACAAAGCTTTGCCTAAGCTGACTAAAACAGCATTAGTTCCCAGATTTACCGAACCCTGGAACCATTTTGCTAGGTAACATGTTCCAAGATTTGCTTCCTAAACTACTCCTGATTTTGAATGGCATATTTTCTATTAGTTAACACTGTACTTATGATGAACATATATGTATACTAGAAGCATAAGGTGTCAGTTTTCTTAAATTTTGTCAGCATTTTCTGTCAGTATCTGCTTACAGTCAATAAAAATACTTTACCAAAGTAATCTAAATGACATTCAGAGATCAAAGATCAGATGGCTTCTTAAGTCAAGACTGCCATACAATTGCATATTAATGATTTAGTTCTCTGAATAGGTAATATAAAAGGTCCTGCTTTATTTTCTATATATATATTCATATTTAGAAAACTCAGAATATTGCCACAAATTTAATTTTCTTTAAATCTCACTATACTCACTCCCTTTAGAATTAGTAATTGAGAACATATTTGAAATTTCAGTATAGGTATTCAAATCTTCTGTAGTCTATTCTGCTGACCCAGTAAAACCACAGTCAATGTTATCCTAACTGCCATTCATAAATCCAGAATTTGTATTTTTGACTTATGCCTTAAAAGATAGTACAGAAAGGAGGAGAAATAACTAAATCTCAGTCTTCTCACTGGCAATAAGATTTTGCTGGTGTTTCAATATCCAAGTAAACACACTTACAAGCTAAATGGCATTTATTTTTACAATGCAAACAATCTTAGACTGTAATAGTCAGAAGAATGGTTCAGAGGCCTTATCATATCATAAAATCATAAAAGCAACATTCAGTCATATAATTACTAAAACAAAAAAGCACACACAGATTTTCTAGACAGACCTAACAGGCTATCAAAAATGCTTAAGAACAGAAAGATTTAAGTTTACCATGAATTGAAAATTTGAAGAATAAGTGCATGTCCTGAAAATTGCAACTAAACAATATTTACTAGTTTTGTTCATTTTATGTCGCATTCCTTGGTCTTATAAATCATCAGTTCACCATAAAGTATTCAAACATCAGTAAACCAATCCCATGTTTTTATTCCCAGACTGAGAAAACTACGCATTTAAGTAGTAATTATGAAAATTAATCCTAAAATATTCCAAAGGAAGCAGTTTTGAATACAACTTATGTACAAAAGGACAGAATTATAGTATGTAAGTTTCAAAGTCTGATATAATTTGCCACATGTATATATTTTAAAATCTCAACTTTTTCTTCATTGTGTGTTTTTCACATTCAAAATAGTTTTATGGTACTGCTACACCCGCTTCTATTATTTTCAATAGTTCTTTTTAAGCTCCCATAATGCTTTTTGATGCAGATTCACTTTTCATTTAAAGCCAAAGGCAATACAAAAAGCTTTGAGGGAACAAACCAATGTAATATTTACTAAGACATGTATTCTCTAGATAACTGGGGACTTCAATAAATTGACTTTTTACCAATAGCCCATTACATTGGAGAAACAAGTCAGAGACTCTGAAATAGTTAACTTTTAAAAATTAATTACTTTAAAGGAAAATTTAACTTACTTGATAATAGAGATTACGTGTCACTTTAAAAAATACTAATAAAATTGACAAGTGAAAACACACAATTATCACACTTTCCTGATCAATACGGAAGGCGAACCATCAGATGGGAAAAAGTTGAGACCAGCTCTGACACCACACAGCTCCTGACTGCTCCACTGCTTCCAGGTAAGTAAGTAAGCCGCACCACGGGGCTGCTCTTACCGGTCAAGTCAAGACTTTCCATTGTGATGTCAATGGAACATCAGAGCTTCCAGCTTCTGTGATGCAGCAGGATTCTGTGGAGGACCCATAGCAAAGTGATTAAAATGGTGAGCCGGGAAGCCCCTTCCAACTATGCTGACACTCAGCCTCCTTTAGCAAAATCATCTCTAAATAAGATGTATTAACAGCCAACCAATCAAAGTCAGGAAGATGATTAAACATCCCTGGACTAACACTACTGAGGAAAAAAAGGCCTAAAGTATTTATTGTCAACTTTAATTTAACAAAAAGATGATTACTAAAATTACTCAATGGGAATTCTGAGGCCAAAGTTAACAGACACAAAGAATTACAGACAATTACTTCTTAGTTTGCTGACTAAATTCAGGTATAGAGTTACAGGCGAATCCTCTGAAAAAAAAGGGAATTAAAATGACATCGTGACTAAAGTCAAGTTATTTCAAATGACTGGTTCAAGCGAACCAGTTAAAGCTTAACCACAATTAAGCTATGGTTCAGATGCTTATATTTTATCTTTTAAATGTTTTAAAGATGAATGAAGCCAAGATAGTTCTTTTATTAAGGAGTGGGGGAACAGATACAAATAGAGAAAAGCTGTTATAAATTACTTTCTAATGACATATGATGAAATAAAAGAAAGGGGATTGAAATCAAGAGTGTACAAATCAAATAAAATTTTATATTAATACTGCAAATATAGACATATATCTAAATTATCATTTTTGTGAAATACTATTTTTGATTTTTAATGTTTCCAATTTATTTCTAATTAATTAATTTTTAAAATTTATTTATTTTAATTGGAGGCTAATTACTTTACAATATTGTGGTGGTTTTTGCCATACATTGACATGAATCAGCCACGGGTGTACATGTGTCCCCATCCTGAACCCGCCTCCCCCCTCCCTCCCCATCCTATCTCTCAGGGTCATCCCAGTGCACTGGCCCTGAGTGCCCTGTCTCATGCATGGAACCTGGGCTGGCGAGCTATTTCACATATGGTAATACACGTTTCAATGCTATTCTCTCAAATCATCCCACCCTCGCCTTCACCCAGAGTCCAAAAGTCTGTGTCTCTTTTGCTGTCTTGCATATAGTATCATCACTAATATAGACATATACCTAAATTACAATTTTTTTTTAATTAAGCTATTTCAGTTTCTATGTGAGACACATTCATTGAGTTTCTCAAGTGCTTCATATGGTAATACTAAATCACACTCAACTAAGAGAAAATTTCCTACTCCCTTGTGTATTATGACAATATATTTCTTTACAATCAGTAGGCCACAACACACTTCAGAAACTGGATCACTTCCTGGCTTACTGCTTGATCAATACTGTTAGTCATTCTATGTGTTGGCTAAGGTTTTTTTTTTTCAACCACTACAATATGGAAATATAAAAAAGGTGTAATGATTCATTTGAGGAATCCTAACTAGACTTAGATGATTCAGCTGTCACCCAATACTACAGAAGAAAACAATAACCAGAAAGAAGAAAATATTAAATGGTCTTACATGGCTTCTCACAAGATACTACTCATTTATCCACATTTTTTAGAACAAGGGTATGTCTGAAAGAAGATATCCAAATCTCTGAAGAATATTACAAGGGACACATGAATACTTTCAAATTAAATGCTTATGTTGTTATGAAGGAAGCGTACAATTCCCAAAACCGATTAAATAAATGGTATAAAAGTCTCTCCTTAATTATC